TGAATTAAGAGAAAGTAGCTATATATCTACCCTATTTTGAATATACAGATACAAAATGGTCCTTCATTTGTATCCTTTTGTTTAGTTTTGTCAGAGAAAGGTATTCCATTGTCTTTTAATTTTGTAGGTGTGTGAATTGAGCAAAATATTCCAATATAGTCCACTAGTCCATAATAGTAGTGGGTTTTCCATAGGACTGGCAACATCAGAAGTTGTTGACTTGAGCCTTTTATAGCTCAGCAAATTAATATGGCTTTAGGTTTTAAACTTTGTTTTATCTAAAACAGTTAAATTTCACCAGATGCACTATTTTAATAAAAACAGTAAAAAAAAATTCAGACACTTTGCACATTTAAGAGAATTCAAGTATTTTAATTCAAGAAACAAAATACAGAAGAACAGCTGTTACAAAACCATGAAAATAGTAAATTAAACAATAACAAAATGTTTCAATTTTTACTACTTATACTCACTTTATCAATATTAAATTTCATTCATTATTTTAGTATAATACCTCATCTCAGAATCTACAATTTTAACAAATGCCTGAAAAGTTTTTTGTTCATTAATAGATGCTGGTCTGATAGAAACACATCTGAAAATGTTCTTTTTCGGATCATAGTTTCCAACACATCTATGAACTTGGCCTCTAATTAGTCTTGGAAGTTCACGATCCTGTTTTGGAAAACATAAATATTTAAAAATTATTAATATAGACTTCAATTTTTAAAATAATATACTCAAGTAGCTAAACAGCATCCAAAATGTTGTAAATCCTTCACCTGAACCTAGTGCTCATAAGCCTATGATATCAAGATATATATGGATTTCCTGTCACAAAAGAAAAACCCACCTTGAATAGGACTTCTTAAAAGCTAGCAAGATGTTGTTTCTTAAAATATGCAATAATTTTTAATTATCCAACCCTACTGCTAGAGTTCAACTTTGAAGACATGGCAGTATAGGTGGTTTAATTCAACTCTCCCAGCTTACAACAAATACTCATAGGTATCAGAGACATATCAAGGCTCTTTCCATCCAGAGACAGCTGCCAATTACAGAAAAGCAGTTAAAAGTCTTAAGAAACTGAGCAGAACTGTTGACAGACTCAGGAGAGAACTGGAGGTTGAAGCCCCCAAGAAAAGAGGTTGTAGTAATCAAGCCTAACTCTACCACAAGCTGAGGGTTGGGACCCAAAAGGTCACTGCCTTTAAGGCAAGTGAAAAATCAAGGGGGGAAAAAAAAAGCAATCTCCAAATCCTCTGAATAAAATTAAGCCACCCTGAAAGTGTTTTCAATAAAAGATCTTTTAAA